TGTTTTTTTTTAGGTGGGTCTTTCTCTAGCCCCAGCTGGCCTGGAACTCAAAATGTAGACCAGCAGGCTGGCTTCTTCGCAAGAGATCCACCTGCCCCTACCCCCATCCAGCCCCCCACTGAGTGCTGGGACTAAAGGCATGCACCACCATGATCAGCACATTTCCTCCTCTTTTTAAAAAATATTTTATTTATTATTACTTTTATTTCATATGTATGAGTGTATTGTGTGCATGGATATAAGTGCACCTATGTACAATGCACACAGAGATCAGAAGGTGTTGGATCCCCTGGATCTGGAGTTACAGATGGTTGCTAGCTGCCATGTGGGCGCAATCAAGCCCAGGTCCTCTGCAAGAGCAGCCAGTGCTCTTAACCACTGAGTCACCTCTCCAGCCCCACCTTTCCTCTTTTTAAGGCTAATTTATCTCAGTTGGTTCTCTCCTTCTACCATGTTGGTTCCAGGGATCAAACTCGGGTCATCAGGCTTAGCATTTGAGCCATCTTCCTGGCCCTTAATAAAAATGTGCATGTGTCTCACATTATACTTCTAACGTGTGGTCCTTGTTTAAAGAGGTAGAGGGCACGGTTCTGCTTCAAAACAGTCTCTAGAAATGAGGAAAAATAAAGAGACAGGCTGCACTGAAGAGGACTGGAAGACGTTGAAACTCTTCTCTCTCCCTTTGTGAAAAATGCCAACATGCATTTGTTTCGTGGCTTGTTTGTAGTGCACCCCAGAGGCCAGGCCTCTCGCAGCCCCCAGTGCCTCACAAACCCCTTGAACTTATGTAGCTCACTTCACTTTTCCTCCACACTTGGCATTCTGCCCATGGCCAAGTTTCTCACTAAGATAATTCTTGCCCTAAAATTCCTTGCAGCTTATATGGTGTCAAGGAGCTGGTATTCTTGACAGTCGAAAGCAAGTGGGACATCCAAGGCAGGCTAATGGAGCTTAGCCTTATTCTCTGACACTGTAGATTAGGGAAAGTTTAGTCTTTCTTGTCGGTCTCTGGAATTCAACTTGTTAAATGTAAACTCCTGGAGCTGAAGTGATGTCTCAGTGGTTAAGAGCACTTGCTGGTCTTCCAGAGGACAGGGGTTCAGTTCCCATTTCCCACATGGCGGCTACATTCATAGGTAACTCCACTTCCAGGGGATCTGATGCTTTCTTCTGGTATTGAGGGCACTGCATGTTTGTGGTGTACTTACATACATGCAGACAAAACATTCATGCACATAAAATATAATGTTTTTTGAGACTGGGTCTCCTTGTAGCCCCCAGCAAGACTAGAACTCACTATGTAGACCAGACTGACCTTGATCTTACAGAAACTCACATGCCTCTGCCTCCAGAGTTCTGGGTTAAAGTAGTGTACCACCACATCTGGGTACATACATTAATTTAAAAAAATAAAAAGTTAAACCCCAAAAGGCAAAACTCATCTGTGGTTTTAGGAACAGGGGACAGTCACCACAGGTGGAGGGGAGTAGCTGGGTGAGGGTGGGAAACGCTTCCCAGGAGGAAAATATACTGTTATGGGCTCTGGCTTACCTGATCATGCCCATTTTGGGGGACTGATTTGAGTGTGTGTACACTTTTCTGAATGCATGTTACACATCAATAAGAAGTTAAAGAAACAGATCACCTCACCCGCGAGCCGGTTATTTAAGTGAAAAGCCCAGGTGTCAAAGTGATGAGATGACCACAAGGGGGTGCTGTATCCCCTTTTTTGCCCAGCGTTGCCTGGAGACACAGTCCCACAATTCTCAGAGCAGAGATTTGTGGGTCACCCACACAGGACAATTCACTTGAGAACCCTCTGTAGTCCTTTGAGGCATCCACATACAGAGAGACCAGGTCAGGGCAGAGCAGAACTTTTTTGATTCACAGCATTGTGGAAGGATGAGAGTGCGGCATAGCTGACTGAGAAGCTCCCTCAGTTAGTGTTGTTGGGAGACACTTTAGGAATGCCACATTCTTGGGAGAAATTAAGATTCTTGCCATGCTGTAAATAGACACCCACAAGGAGATGGGGGTAGGTCAGGCTCTGCCGTTATCACCTACGGAAATCCTGTGTGGTGGTAAATACGGCCCTCAGCAGAGCCTGGAGAGGAGATTACTGGGACCAGAGGGGGCTGAGAATGCATATGTGGGAAGTTATTGGCCAGATAGTGGCCTGGAAATCAGAGGCTGGGGAGCTGGTGAGGGGGAAGTTGGGCTGAAGGAGCGCAAGAGGAAATGAGGGAGGAGAGTAAATAAGGAGATAAGTGGCTTCCTTTGCTCCCTCCCTTATTACCCCTTTGTTTTGTGTCCAGCACTCTGGACTGTCTGAGATTTCTTCTGGGGACAAGAGCCTGAGGTTGACTTTGAGATGCAGGCCTGGTCCTACCTCCCTGACCTGTCCCGACCCCACCTGGCGCATCCATCCCACTGAAGACTTCCATGTAGCCAGCCACTGCAAGTGCTTCCAAAGCCATCTGGGGCAGGGTCTTCCTAAATTCAGATCCCCGCTCTCCAGGAGCAAACCCACTAGTCTACATGCTTTGCTGCCCCTTCCAAGTGAACACACACCACTCAGACCAAATGCCCCCGTGTTGGGGCTGGTGATCAACAGATTTCATAACAGTATTGGGGGTTAAGGATGTGGTTCAGTGGTAAAGTGCATGCTTAGCATGATCAAGGTCCTGGGTTCCATCTCCAGCATTAAAAACATAAAAACAACAACAACAAAAACCAGGGTTGGTAAGTGGAGAACTTTTCCTTTTCTTGGATCGTGACTGGAAAGGATGAGGGGGCCCCCACACTGACATGCTAACAGACTAGACAGCCTGCTGGAAGACAGTACCCCAGGGTCCAATATCAACATCGCTGATTGTGTTAGGAAATGTGTTGTGCTCCTAAAGCAGGTGAGCAGGTCTGGCAGATGGCAGGGAGGGCGGCTTGACCATGCCCCAGCTCCACTCCACTCCCTGACTGCATGATTCTAGAGGTTCCCTAATCTTTGTGGAGTCCTCTTGGGTGCCCATAAAGCAGGTCAGAAGACCAAACCTCCCTGTAATATTGTGGGAATGTACTTTACAATATGCAGAATGCTTAATGTTAGTTGTTTGGCAGGGGCCACTAGCCAATGTATGGTGGCAGGATTTGTGAAAAGGGGTTGCCACCAATAACTGAAAGAGCTCATGTTTGGGACTGGTTAAGTTTGACTCTGGGGAATCATGGGGAATTGTTACTCTGGTGAAATCAGTTATCTTAGCACTGCCTAGAGCCCATGCTGCAGACTCACCTAAGAGGGAAACTTGACCAGAAAGCCAAGCTAGGCAATGCTGAGCACCTGTCCTTGGATATTACTATGGGGCTCCTCTCTGTGATCTCTGTATTCCACCCTTTAGATATTTCTGTCCTGCTCAGTCATGTGTCCTTACTGATGATGAGACCATGCCCTGGACTTGCTTCTTCCAAGCAGTTGATACCTTCCTAGAGTCCTTGTTTCAACCCAGGCCAATGAATTTCCTTTCTGCTAGATGCCTCTTCACATTCACAGCTCAGTATGAACACGTGGCATTCCAAGATAGTGTCCAGGGTACCAGGGGCCCAAGAGTTGAAAACCCCTTGACTGTTTGCTTTCTGACCAGTCTCCACAAAGACGGTGCAGTATTAGGGAGGGAATGATTATCTTAAAGCCATTTGCGAAACACTTACCCATCACATTTGCTGTCCCAGGGACTGTGATAGTCATGTGTTAAACAGGCATCATAAGATGGCTCAGCGTGTTAAGGCACTTGCTACGAAGCCTGAGGACCTGAGTTTAGTCGTCAGAACCCACATAGTGGAAGGACAGAACCAGCTCTTCCTGCAAGTTGCCCTCTGACCTCCACATGTGCACTGTGACATGCGTGGACACACACAAAATAAACAAATAATGCAATAAAAAGTTAAAGGAAAAAGAAGCGGGATGTTAAACAATGGATTACATAAATAATTAACAGTGGGATAGAGCAAAGGGCACCAAGACAGCATTTCAGCTGACCCCGAAGAGAACCACCTCAGCCTGGTGAAGGTGTGGTGGTGTTGGGGTCAGAATGGGGAAGAGCGCCCCAAGCAGAGTGAACTGTCCATTCCTATGCCTTACACAGCAGGGGGCATGATGTATATAGTCAACTTCACCCAACCGAACCAAACCTACTCCATCCCGACACCTGCAGAGTTTCTTGACTAGACATCTGGGTGTGGCTAGGTCATGCCTAATGATGCAGCCATCCCAGTGCGCTCATTTGTTAAATTATACTTGTAAAACCCCCCTTCCCACCCAAAAAGAGAAACTCTAAGAAAATACACACTGAGTTTATTATAGTTGTTATGAGCCAGACAGGCTGAAGACTAGAATCTAATAGAGGTTTTCTTAAGATTCCTTGGGGACTTGAGGGATTCTTTTTCCCACCAACCATGAAGGAGGATTATAAAAACACATTTCCTCCTGAACAGAAGAAATCTCCTGAATTCAAAGTTCTGATCATTTCAGTAGCAGATTCCTGCTACATATTTTTTCTCACTGTCTCCTCTCACCTTCCTTTCTCCATTTCTTCCCCGTTTGATTTTTTTATTATTTTTATTTTAGTGTACGAGCATATTGCCTGCATGTGTATAAGTGCACCCATGTTGTGCAATGCCCGAGAAGGTCAGAAGGGTGGTGGATTCTCCTGGAACTGGAGTTACAGACGGTTGTTTGCCGCCATGCGGGTGCTGGGAATAGAACATGGATCCTTTTAACCGCTGAGCCATCTCTCCAGTCCCCATTTCCCCCTTTCTTTATTTCTCTGATATAGCAGTAGGCCAAGTGGTGAAGGAGTTGGTTACAGTCTTGGCTCTTGACCTTGTCTTGTGACCTTCACCAAGATGCCACCCCTCTTTAGAATCAGTTTCTTCAAATGTAAACGTAGAGATTGGAACACAGAGTGGACTGCCTTGCAGCTACAACATCCTTGTTTCTCATTAGTGAAACTCAAGTCAAGAAACAACAGCGTTGAATCTCATATGAGGAGCCAGAGCTGGTGGAAGACCCAAGAGGGAAGCTGGAGGCGAAGCCTTCCTCCTCCTCAGATACAACTTTGATGCACACTAGTGCAGATGCGGGTAAGGTGTCTTCCTCCAGCCCAGCTCCCCTGTGCAGCTTGGCTTCTCCTACCTTTACTTACATGGCATTTCTTTCTCAAGTCCTTAGAACTCCAGGGATCCTCCCTCGTTTCCCAGCTGTGTCTGCTGTTTCCTAGAAAGATTTCTGTGAATGTCTAGACCAAGAATTTCATACTCCAAGATCCATAACATAAAGAGAGAAGAGGTCTTGGGGAGGCAGGCCCACAGTCCACACACTGAGACAGAGAGGACCACAGCCAGCTCAGCATCCAAGGGGATCGACGCGAGTCAGGTTCTTCAGGGAAACAGAACCTGTGGGGTGTACCTAGGAGTCTTAATAGGAATTTGTTCAAGCAAATATGGATGCTAGGAAGACCCACATCTGCTGTCTGTAAGCTAGAGAATTAGGAAAGCCAGCTTTAATTCAGTCTGAGTCTGAGAATCAAGACAACGTCTGAGATGGAGGTAGATGGGGAAGATGAGGAAGATGGATGTCCTAGCTAAAGAAGACAGAGAGGATACCCCCTTCTTCTCTACCCCACACAAGCTCTTCTTGGTAGATGGAATGGTGGCATCTGCTCTGGCCAGGGGTGGATCCTCATTGTTCACCAATTGTGATAATCTCATCTGGAAACTTGCTCAGAGACACACCTAGAAATAATGTTTTGCCAGGTGTCTGAGCCCAGTCAAGTCCACACAAAAAAACTGATTACCTCAGTCTGATTTTCTCTTAGCCCCAGTCAGAGTCCCTCTGTCACACAGTGTCTCCAGTGCTCTGCTTCCACAAGAGAAGCTGTGCGTCAGCATTTTGAAGTCAGATCAGCCCAGCTTTTAAAAAAGTACAACATGGGCTGGCAAGACGGTTCAGTAGGCAAAGGTGCTTGGTGTGCAAGCCTGGTAACCCTAGTTCAATTCCAGAACCCAGGGAAGGTATAAGGGAGAACCAACTCCACAGAGCTGCTCTCTGATCTCCACGGACACACCACAGAAAACACGCATATGCACACACACACAGTAATAGGAAATAAACACAATAAATTTAGTATCAGCTTTTCTCAGGAAATAAAAAGCATGATGTACACAGGACAAAGACTAAAGTCTACATGTCAGATTTAGCCTGTAGCTCCGGGTTGGCTTATCTGACTGACAGCAAAGAATTCTGACCTTTGCCCATTCTCTACTGTATTTACAAAACTTATAATGTTTGGCTCTGCATCCATTCATTAAGAATTATTTATTACCTATCAGGAGTTGACATGAAGTAGATTCTGGAAAGAACAGGTAACTAGAACCCAATGCACTTGCATGTAAGAACGACAGTGTTGTGATCAATGCCTTGTGGGTTTGGTGTCTGCCTTCTCTGTGTCCACAGTGCCCAGACACAACCCCGTTATGCAGGTAGCAAACTAGACAGATGTTAATGACTTCTTGGGCTGGGTCTCCTCAGCTACCTGCTCCTGGAACCACATCTCTCCGTTCTGTATGCCCAGCATCTTGCAGAGCTGACACATCCTATTAGTTCCAGAAAAAGCAAAGTGACAGTTGAGTGAAAAGTGACAGTGGTACACCCACTAAGGGTGCACCAGTCAGGACCGTGAAAGCAAAGGAAGATTCCCCTGGGGCCCTGTCTGCAGCTCTCCCGCAATTCTGAATCTATAAGCCCTTTTGTCAAAACACAGGCTGGCAATCTCAGCACTGAGGCAGGAGTTCAAGACTAGTCTGGACTATGTAGAAAAACTGTCAAAACAACAACAAATGGGGGCTGGAGAGGTGGTTCAGTGGTTAAGAGCACGGGCTGCTCCTGCAGAGGACCTGGGTTCAGTTCCCAGCACCCACATGGCAGCTAACAATCATCTGTAACTCCAGTTCCAAGGGATCTGATGCCCTCTTCTGGCCTCTATGGGTACTGCATAGATGTGGTTTACTTACATACTTGCAGGCAAAACACACACATAAAAATAAATTAAAAAATTTAAAGACAATAAAATTTTTTAAAAAGACATAAAGCACAGAACAAATAAGAATAAAAACATTAACTCTGGGGCTAGAGAGATGGCTCAGTGGTTAAGAGCACTAACTGTTCTTACAGAGGACCTGGGTTCGATTCCCAGCACCCACATGGTGGCTAACAACCATCTGTAACTCCAGTTGCAGGGGAATTCAATGCTGCCTTCCAACCTCCCTGGGCATTGCATGACAGGGATGCACTTACACACATGCAGGCGATACACTCATACACATAAAAAAAAAAAAATTAACCCTGGAAACCAAGGACATTTTTCATTAAAAAGATGAATGACCTTCAGCACACTGTAAAGGACAGGTTTTAGAAACGAAGACTGATGTGGGCTCTTGGTGGTGGAGCTGTCCTTTTAGGAAGCAGATCACCCGAATGATGGTCCACAGTTGTTGGGGGGAGATCTTGGGCAAACTACCAACTCCCCCTGGGCCTCAGTTTCCCCCCATTGTAAAAGGAGAGTCTATTAGAGGATTTTCAAAGTTACTTCTGGCTTCCACAGCCTATGCTTCCTGGCAACCAAGTGGTTCTTTGGAGACCACCTTGCTGGGCAGGAAGGAAAACACACAAAAACTGTAAGCAAACATGAGTTTGCCTTTCTTACAAAGCCTGAGCTCAGCTCACCAAGTGAGTAATGGCACAGTTGGACGTCATAGCCCTTCTTCCTCAGAAACTATGGGGATGGGTCCCTATATCCTGAAACATAGCACCAAACACAGACCATACCAGAGCCAGCTAGGCTTTGCCAGCCCCTTGACAGTTGGTATGTTATCTGCACTGCAGTCTTTTTAGGCCAAATTCTGTGCCTATCTCTTACCCTGCAGCATTGTCTAGCTGGAGTTCTGGAAATATCCCTTAGAAAAGAGCCCGGGGTGGGCGGGGCAAGCAGGCCTGGACTGAGAGAACTGGGAAACACTCTCCCCAGGGACAGGAAATCTGGCACCATCAATAACATTAAGTCCATAAAACCAATTTCCTCTGGGATTAAACGCTCGCTTGATAGACTATTTTCATCACTTGCTGAGTCTCATTAATTGACTTACTCAAAATTTCCACTTCTTACAGTTGATTTCTTGGGGGCTCGTGGCTTGTAATATTTCTTATGTAGTTAGTATATTACATTTCAACCATTAAAAGTCATTTATTTAAAGAGAACATATCCCTGCAAAAACCAACCAGTAAAACTTGGTGTTTTTCTCTTAAGTTTCTGCAAGATCAGAGACATGTCAAGAAAAATGCTAATGGGGATCACCACAGCTTTAAAATTTTTATTACATTTATTTATTTAATGTGTGTATGTGTGAGTGTGTGTGTGTGTGTGTGTGTGTGTGTGTGTGTGAGTGTGTGTGTGTGTGTGGGCACTTATGTGCCGTGGAGGTCAGAGGACAACTTTTGAGAGCCTGTTTTCTCCTTCCGTGATGTGGGTCCTGGGGATGGAACTCAGGTGGTCAGGGTTGGCAGCAAGTGCCTTTATTCACTGAGCTATCTTATCAGCTCCTTCCCTACACCCATTAAAGAAATCAGAGAGTTGCTGGGCATGGTGGTGCACAGAGGCAGGTGGATCTGTGTGAGTTCAAGGCCAGCCTGGTTTACATAGTGAGTTCCAGGACAGCTGGGGCTACAGGGAGATCCTCTCAAAAGTACAAAGAAAGAGAGAGAGAGAGAGAGAGAGAGAGAGAGAGAGAGAGAGAGAGAAGGAAGGAAGGAAGAAGGAAGGAAGGAAGGAAGGAAGGAAGGAAAAGAAAAAGGAAAGATCAGAGTGATCCCCACAATTAGGGGTTTGCTTGCACAGAATATTGGCTTCCTCAGAGAACCTGGTTTTGGAGGAGAGAGGAAGGTCATAGATGTTGGGAAGTAAATGAAAAACAGTGGAGACTGTGCTGTAGGTGGAAGACAGCAACACAGGATGGGAGAGGACAGAGAAGCAAAGGTAAGATGTGTGCTGTTGAGATGCCTGGCACGGGGGGTAAAGGTGCTTCCCACCAAGCCTGATGGTGGCAATTTGTTTCCCAGAACCTACCTGGTGGAAGGAGACAATCAACTACTGAAAGTTATCCTTTTACCTTCACATATGTGCCATGGTGTGTGTGCATGTGCACACACATAGATACATACATACATACAGAGAAAATAAATAATAAAAAGTAATGCTATCTTTGTATATTATATCTTTGAATGTGATGGCTAATTTTACATGTTGAGTTGACAGGGTCAAGGGATGTCCAGATAGTTGATTTGAATAGTTTTCTGGTGCCTGTGAGAACATTTCTGGATAATATGAACACTGGAAGACTAGGTAAAGCAGATTGCCTGCCCTATGTAGGTGGGTCGTCTAATCAGTCGGAGCCCTGGCTAGAACAGAAGGGCCCAGTCGGAGGAAACCCCTCCTGTCTGCTTGAGCTAGGGCATCAGCTTTTTTGCCTTTGGAGTCGAACTGAAACGCTAGCTTTTGGGGGCTCTTGAGCCTGCTGCCTTCCGAGTAGGACACATACTCTTGACTTTCCTGGTTTTAGCCTTTGGACTCAGTCTGGAACTACACATGAGCTCTCTTTGATTGCCAGCTTGCCAACTGCAGACCTCAGAATTTCTCAGTCTCTATAAATCTATCTATCTATGTACCTATCTATTTATCTATCATCTATCTATATCTATCATCTATCTATATCTATCATCTATCTATCATCTATCTATCTATCATCTATCTATCTACTTTCTACCATCTACCATCCATCTATCTATCATCTATCTATCATCTGTCTACTATCTACCTATTATCTACCATCTATTATCTATCTACCTATCATCTATCTATCTACTATCTACCATCTACCATCCATCTATCTATCATCTATCTATCTATCATCTATCATCATCATCTATCATCTATCTATCTATCTATCT